AAGATTTCTGCAATAACTCGCTGTCAGGATCAGAAGCTGTTTGTACACTGTTTACCTTCTACCAGTATGATCTCAGTCTGCTGATGATTCCTTAACTCTGGTATTTTAGGCAGAAAAAGTGGTCAGCAAGGTCTGGGAGCGTCGCGGCTGCCTGTTTTCTCACCTCAGGAGAAGAGTTACATCCGAGGAACTGTGGACTTTCTGGGCCTTGGACATTACACCACCCGCTACATCACCCAGAAGAACTACCCGTCGAGCTTTGGGGACAGTTATTTTGCAGATCGAGACCTTGCAGAGCTGGTGGACCCACAGTGGCCTGACCCTGGTTCTGAGTGGCTCTACTCGGTTCCCTGGGGGTTCCGACGCACATTAAACTTTATAAAGGTAAACCAATTAAATCAGAACTTTCTTCACATCTTCAGAAGGTTTTAATCTATATGTGCTTATTAGATCCACATTCTACTATCCAAAGTCTGATGTTTTATTTTATCTTAAACATTAAATGTATGTCTATTAATTTATTTAGCTATCCTTAACTCCCACACATTTCCTCTTTGGACCTTCTTTCTTCATGCATTACCATGATAAATAAGACTTTGTTAAACCATTGCAAATTCAATTCAATTCAGTTTATTTCTATAGCACTGATTCACATCATTTTATCCCAGGTCACTTTACAGAGACAATTCAACCAGATCATCCAGTCAGATTGGTTCAAAGTTTTCTATCGAAGGAAAACCAGCTAATTGCATCAAATCATTGACCCTTCAGTAAGAATGCTTGTAGCGACAGTGGAGAGGAAAACTCCCTTTGAACAGGAAGAAACCACCAGCAGAACCAGAGCCAGGCTCAGTGTGAGCGGCCTCTGTTGAGAGGCAGTTGAGACCAACTGGGGAATCAGACCAAGTCTAAGTCTAAGTCAGACATAGAAAAAGAAGCAGAGATACAAAAAGCAACTGTCAACCAGCTCCACAGGCAGACCCGTCCAGGAAACACACAGCCAGGCAGACGAGCCTCGAGCCAGCTACCATGTCAGAGGATGAAAGGGAGCACATCCAGTTATTTACTGTCAGAGAAACAGGACTACACTGAAAAACAGGCTAAGCTCCAACATCTATAAACAAAGGTGTTGATGAAGCAGCATAGCTGATATTTCTCTCCAGGATGGAGTCACAGCCAAACAGGAACAGACCAGATGAAGCTACTATGAGAAAAAGCAGAGATAGCAGAACATTAGAGGTCCCTATGTCCTCCAGCAGTCTAAGCCTATAGCAGCATAACTATAGAGATAGCTCAGGATAACCTAAGTATTTTGGATGAGGCATAATGATGATTTCTTTTTCACATTTAAAAAAAAATCCCAATGAAAAGAGTTTGATGGAGAGAAAAAAGGATTTAAACCCCAAACTATCCTTAATGGAGCTGTTAATAATTCACCTCTCAGGTTTCAATTGGATGTTTTTTTCCAAGCAATATTTTTAGTTGAAAACTCACAGGACTTCCGATATCTTGAGAACTGTTGATAAAAACCCACCTATAAAATTCCAGGAAAGGCTATTTGTTTGTTTGGAGGGAGTCCTGCTCAGCGGTTTCCGAGGTTCTGTCCGAGCAGAACTAACCTCCTGAATTTAATGTGTGATCCCACCAACAGAGCCAGTATGGAAACCCGATGATCTACGTGACGGAGAACGGTGTCTCGGAGAAAATGCTCTGCACCGACCTGTGTGATGAGTGGAGAATGCAGTACTTCAGAGAATACATCAACGAAATGCTGAAAGGTGAATGTTTTTTTTTTTTCCTGCTGTGGACCAGGAAGCTGATTGGTTAAACCTCTGTCTCTGTTTGGACCCAGCCGTAAAGGACGGTGTGAACGTGAAGGGATACACCGCCTGGTCTCTCCTGGACAGCTTCGAGTGGGATGAAGGCTTCTCAGAACGGTTCGGCCTCTACTTTGTGGACTTCAGGAACAAAAACAAACCACGTTACCCAAAGGCTTCAGTCCAGTTCTATAAGCGCCTCGTCAGCTCCAACGGCTTTCCCAACCAGAGAGAGGTAAACCCCAACAGGAGGGTTTAGCTTTAAAACCAGTCTCTGCTGGGCTCTGATCTGTTGGGTCTCCACAGGTGGAGAGCTGGAAGAGGAAAGCTGTGGAGACCTGCTCCTCCAGTAACCAGCTGCTGGCTGCAGGTCAGTATGAGGAAGCTCTGAAGGAGTTGCAGGAACACGCTTTGTCTCATTTGTTCCTCCGACAGCCTGAAGAACATCTCAGATAGATCAGGAGGGCACAGGAATCTGCTCCAAAAACAGCTATCTAGTCAATCCTGGAAAAGCTTAGGAGCAGGTTTTGGACTCTGTTTAATGGCCCTGCTCTGACCCACAGGAGGTCTCTCTCTCTCTATTAAAGACCAGGTTAGTTGACAGATTCTCCAACCTGAGCCTTTGCTCTCTGCAGCTCCTCTATAGTCACCCTGGTCCTCTGTTGCTCTCCTCCTCCAACCTTTCCCTCTAAGGCTTGGTTGGCCCGTGGGTGAGTGATCCCTGCGGATGGATCAGAGTTCTGGGAGATGTTCAAAGCTTCTAAGATTGTTCTAGAACCAACCTTGCTTTAAACTGAACCAGAACTTCCTCCCTGATCCATATGCTGGGTTAATTGGTCTCCATCTCAGTTCTCCTCTAATGAACCCATGAGGTCAGAATCAGAACAGCTGCTAATTGCTTAATAAAAGAAGTTGTTTCTACTGGATTGTATTTAGGGGCATCTCAGTAAAGGGGCTGAATTTATTCATGATACGTGTCAAAAGTAAGGATTATTTTTGTTATCAGGGATTAACTTTTTTCTATTAGTCCATCATTAATAAAAATCCCTAAAATGCTTAATTAATCAGTTGCTGTAATGTCCTGTAGAATAAACATCTTTAAGGTTCTGTTCTGCTCTGACCTTCAATGTTCCTGTTTAAATATATTTTTAAGTCACAGTGATTTCTTAATCCAGGAAAAAAAGCTTTAGGAAGGAAACTTTCAGATTTCTGTTTTTATTTCTTTACTCAGCAGAAGATCAATGAAACGTAGCTCTGCTAAAATCCCAAATCGGCTCTTTTATTCTCCTGTTTCGGTCCTGTCCAGAACTCCGAGTCCAGACCTCATTTTATTCAGATCTCTTCTCTATGATCAAGATGCTCTCTTAAACTGGAAGGTCAAAAGTTCTCAGCCTTTAGACCTCGGCTGATTTTTCATAGTCTCAAAGTCCTTACTGTCATCAGGTTGATGTTTATTTATTCCAACTTCTTCTGACATGTGAGTCGTTTATCCAGGTGGGGATGTTGTTCTGCTCTGATGGAGCTGCAGGTGAGGAAGTCGTTGATTCCTGGCTGAAGAGAAGCTGAAGGTTCTGTTTGGTCCGTTGCAGATCCACTGATCGGCCACATGGAGATGGTGACAGAGATCGTTGTTCCCACTGTGTGCACACTCTGCATCCTCCTCAGTGCGGTTTTCTTTATGTTTCTGCTGCGGCGGCGCCTCTGAGAGACCAACCCTCACCGCGTCTGATGCCACGGCAGCAGAGCTCAGATGCCCTGAAGCTGGAGGAACCAATCAGAGCAGCTTCGTTCCTCCTGTTTTTGCTTTAAATGTCCTGCTGTTCTCTTTACCTTTGGATTGTTAATAAACTTTCAAAACCAGCGGCGTCTGATTATTCATCACTTAATGAACTTCTGGAGGTTTTGGAAAAGAATGAGCTCAACTGTGTGGATCACTGAGGATTAAACCTGACTGAACATTTAGTCACAGTCAAACATCTTTTAGTTATTTGATGTTTTTGAAGGTTTGGGCCTAAAAAAACAGAAAGAACTAATAGATGGAATCAAAACCAGAAGCTTCAAAATTCATTTTTTACTCTGTGTTATATGGATTTAGTTATAGTTTATATATTGGCTTTTGTCTTTTTTTTTAAAGAAAAAAATGTTTAAAACAATAAATCTGAAGGAGAAGTTAATTATATAAAGCAAAAAAATGATCTTTTCTAAGTTTATGTTTCATTATAACCTTTTTGTTTTTTACACAAAGTGAATGTTTTCCTCTGGTGCAGGAAGACCAGGAAGGTTAGAGTCTGATCATCTTTTCTACTCACAAAAAAACCCCACTTTAAACAGATTAATTGATTAGAAGAAAGAATAAAAGAAATCACCTGACCTTCACCTTTAATTCCTATAACAATAAAGATCTTCTTACTTTTTTGTGTATTATCATGTTTGGATAATTATCATTGATGATGTGTGAGTTTATTACACCTTAATATTAGCTGCCTGTTGCGTGTCAGAACTGATGTTTTCCACAGTAGTTTATCTAATTAGGGAATGGAATGAGAGCGGTATCCTTAAGCTAATAACAAATGCTTTTAGGATCCTTGTTAAACTACATGTGCACATTTATAGAAACACAAGATTTATTTGCTCCACTGAGACATGAAAATAATTGCTTTCATAGCCCTCTGTACATCCAAATTTCCCTTCTGTTATATCCTAACTTTCTGGTGGCAAATGTAAATTATGTAAATGTTTGTAAAAATAATAGGTTCTGACTTGATTAATAACAGGACTGGATCCCAATCATTGATTAGGACATCAGAGAGACGGTGTCTAACTGCAGCAGGCCAATTCAAGTATTTAGAGGTTGCAAGTTAAAAATCTTGTTCTTAGCTGAAGGACGCCGCTCTTATTCCATTTCCAAATCTTTGCCACGTACAGAATGAAGATTATAACTCTACATATCTGGACAGAGGAACTGTCTTAATTAGATAAACTATTGTGGAAAACATCAGTTCTGACAGGCAACAGGTAGCTAATATAAAGGTGTAATAAACTCACACATCATCTCTGATAATTATCCTAACAATCATCTTTTCCGTTTAGTTTTCATCTTTGTCTAAATAGAAAATACAAGCAGGACAGAGTAAGAGCTTATTTTAAAAGCTTGGTGGATCTAAAGGTAGCTTTTATCCTGACATGTAAAACCTTTTGCATCCAGTAGGTGGCAAGAAAGCAGCTACCGGATGTTAGTAGAAGAAGAAGAAGAAGTGGCGGTTCGTCTGATTTCGCGCTGCAGTTCACCAGCAGGTATATTAAAGCGTTGTTTTCGTGTTTTAGAGTTTTATATGTCTTTGTTTGTGTGCAGATTTAGGGTTTCATTTGTTTTATTTTTTCTCCAAGCTGTTGGTTGTTATTTCTGCTAATTAATATCGTCCGTAACTTATTTATATCTTACGGTCAGTTTTTCTCAACTGCCAAAAAGGAGTATTTTATAAATGTGACATCATCTGAGAGGGGACGAATATTCGGAACCTACTAACCGGTTCTAAAAGAAAGGATTTTGATTTAGTTAATTTAGATTTTACCGCCTTCATCGCTGCTTTTTCCTCATACTGGGCCGCGCGTTGCTGCCCCCTAGAGTCTACAGAGTGTACTGCAGATGAGAAGGGATTCTGAACTGATACTTGTTTATTTTGGTAGAAATTAGGGAAAGATTTAAACATCTCAGTTGCTGATAAGTTGCCATGAAACCTTTTAGACTATAAAATTACTCCTTAAACCAAGTAATCTACTTAGGATGAACAGCCTCTCCTAACTTGGGCGTTATTGATATTAGCAGAGATTTTTGCTGCACAGTTTTCCAGTGTTTGTTTGGTATCAGGCTCCTCAGGTGGGCAGATTGCTGAAAAGTTAGTTGCAAAATTCAATTAACTTCAATAGAAAATTTCTCACCAGCATCACATTATATAAAGTTGACTGTATTATTTCCCACTGTTGAATGATGATGGTGAAGACTACACTTGAAAAACAATGTAGAAATGAGTAAAAATGTCTTAAATCAACTGTATTTATACTTAATTTGAGTAAGTAAATGAGATAGTTTACCATGGAATGAGTATTTTTACTCTTAAAATAAGATTATTAGATAAAATGCACCTGAAAATAAGACAATGCAATTGTATTTTCTTATTTTAAGTGTAAATTTTCTTGTTCCATTAGCAAAATCTCTCTTTTACCGACTAAATACAAATACAAATACACTTGTTTTAAGAAAAAAAATGACTTATCTAGATTTCGATTTTTTTTTTCCAGTGTATGTGAACCGTCTGTGAAATAGGATTGATTTGTGTTGTACACTATAGGCCATTATATTAGGTACATATTGCCTTGAACCCATTTTTCCATCGAAATTAATTCTGCAAACATGAGGATTTCAATTCAGCATATGGTGAAGCTTTACTAAGGCATAAATCTGTGTCTGTTCAGTTCCCCTGCAGGATTCAGGCATCATGAGTGACCATGAAGACGACAGAATGAGCATCATTCACAGCTATGACTCTATGGGGGATGAAGATTTCCCTCCTCTTCCTCCTCCTCACTCCCCTGGAGGAGGAGGAGGAGCTCAGAGCCTGGAAGACCCTTTTGGAGACGGTCAGGAATATTCCTTCATCTGAAGTCACTTCATGTTTGAAAATATCAGATGAGATAAACGTTTGGTTGTTGTCTGATGCAGCAGAGGAAGGCGAGGTGTCCAAGCTAGCCGACGTTCCTGCTGCTAAAAGGAAGGTGGTGAAGAGGCCGCAGCCGAAGCTGGACTCCCAGAGGTATCTACAGGACGCCGGGGCCGGTCTCTTCTCCCACTGCCTGATTCATCCAGTCGCTCATGTTTGATGCTGTTTCCTCTCAGGTTGATTTCAGATAGAGGGCTGCCGGCTCTACGCACTTTGTTTGATAACGTCCGCTTCAAAGGCAAAGGACACGAGGTGAGAAACCAGGTTTTATTTACTGTCATCGTTCAGTAAAACCAAATAAATGTTTGTTCCCCTGGAGGGTGAGAAGCAGTGCATTTTTATTCAGATTCCCAGATGCTCAAACTGAAAGGCTGGAATTTCCCCTTCATCACATCTGTTTAAAGACGATAAAGAGGCAAATGGACAGGGTTTCTGCGGGTCATTAAAAATCATTTAATTATTATTCTTCCAATTAAGGCCTTAATTGGGATAAAAATTAATTAAATGTGATTACCGTTGCATTTAAGATGCGTTATTTGAAAAAAAAAATATGTTTATAAAAACTATTTTTGTCAGATATATCGCAATATATTTGTGGGGAACTGCTTCCAGTTGATTGTAAAGCTGTTTGCTTGGCAAAGAAGCTCAAGGTGGAGAAAAAGCTAGAGAAGGGAAAAAATAATTTCTAAGAGCACTAAAAGAGCATTAAAAAGCATTAGAGTTACTCATTCCTATATCAACCCTAATGGATCATCAATGTTTGACTCCTGATTCAGGCCGAGGACCTGCGGCTGCTCATGCACAAGATGGAGAACTGGGCCCACAGGCTGTATCCCAAACTGCAGTTTGAAGACTTTATCGACAGGGTGGAGAAGCTGGGCAGCAAGAAGGAAGTTCAGGTGAGATGAAGCAGCAGAGTTCCTCTGAGCAGAACGTCTGCAGAACCGTCTCTAATTCTCTTCCTCTAAATCACAGACCTGCCTGAAACGGATCCGACTGGACATGCCCCTGACCAACGAGGACTTCATGGACTCAGGGGGTAAGAGAGACGCGAGGCAGCGGGCGCCTTAAGGGGAAAAGCTGATCAGGGCAGAGAGCCTGAAACTGCAGCTCTGGTTAAAACTGCTGCAGAATTAGAGGCAGACACACTACCGTTCAAAAGTTTGGGGTCACATCGATTTCCTACAATGGTGTATACCACTCCCTTCAGAAGACAGCAGATACAAGCTACTGCGGGTACTATTTAATGAAGATGCCAGTATGGGACCTGTGAGGCGTCTGCTTCTCAAACTAGAGACTCTAATGTACTTATCTTCTTGCTCAGTTGTGCAACGCGGCCTCCCACTTCTTTTTCTTCTCTGGTTAGAGCCTGTTTGTGCTGTCCTCTGAAGGGAGTAGTACACACTGTTGTAGGAAATCTTTAATTTCTTAGCAATTTCTCGCATAGAATAGCCTTAATTTCTAAGAACAAGAACAGACTGTCGAGTTTCAGATGAAAGTTCTCTTTTTCTGGCCATTTTGAGCGTTTAATTGACCCCACAAATGTGATGCTCCAGAAACTCAATCTGCTCAAAGGAAGGTCAGTGTTGTAGCTTCTGTAACGAGCTAAACTGTTTTCAGATGTGTGAACATGATTGCACAAGGGTTTTTTAATCATCAGTTATTCTTCTGAGCCAATGAGCAAACACATTGTACCATTAGAACACTGGAGCGATAGTTGCTGGAAATGGACCTCTATAATCCTATGTAGATATTTCACCAAAAACCAGACATTAGCAGCTAGAATAGTCATTTACCACATTAGCAATGTATAGAGGGTATTTCTTTAAAGTTAAGACTAGTTTAAAGTTATCTTCATTGAAAAGTATAGTGCTAATGCGACCCCAAACTTTTTAACGGTAGTGTATATCCTCCAGATTAAAAACAAGCTGTCTAAGCCTTTTTTGGCTTTTATTGGTGATATTATCAGGTCTGAAACTGTTGGATTAATCAATTATTAAATAATTGTCAACTAATTTAGTAATTATTAATTGGAGTACAGAGACTCTAAGCCAGGGGTAACCAATTAAAAATCAGCAAATAAAGAAAATCGTCAACCAGTAAAGGTCTGGAGACATTTTTAATTATAATCTGTTACTTTATACAGAATTTAACACTGAAATAAAATTTGGTTTTTATACATCCATGTTATACATTGAATTTTTAAATAAAAAGAAATATAGAAAAAAACTGAAAATTTCTCCATTTTTAAATCTAAAGTGTTTTTTGAAGAAGGAGAACAACAATCGTTCAGTTTGGTATATAGACAATTTTCTGATTCACATATTTTATCAAACACCTGAACTGACTGTTTATTATTTCCTTTCTTTTTTCTGTCTTAATGTTGGCAGTGGGCTTTAGGCTGCCCTGCAAGGCTTTAAACCTGGGTTTGAATGGAGACTAAGCCATTCTCAAGCACATATCAAGGAGCTCATTTTGAGCCTGGATCCAGATTTATTGTTGATTCTGTTCATGGTGGAGAATCCTGCTTCACAGCAGCAGGTTGAGCCAAACATCCTCTAAATGTGCAGGGTCATCTTTGAGCACGCCATTTCACTTTTCTTTCACCAGTTCACCGCAGTTCTTCCAGCAGTCCACACTTTCTCTGCTCCCTTTTTCTCATCGTCTTCTCCTTCTTTCCCATCGCCCGGCTTGCCACAGGTTTGCCTGCTGTGTCTAAAAGTAGCAGCAGCAGCAACCCAGACTGACAGCAGCTCATTGGATAAATAGTATCACATGTAGCCTGGTGCCGGACGCTCCGGAGGGCTTTACCGTATTAACAGGAGAAGTGGCGCAAGTGAAATTAGACACGGTCATCAGACAACATGCGGTAATTTAGAAATTTTTCAAATCAGGTTGGATCTGGATTAGCCAGCATGTGTTTCCGGATCCGGACCGCGGTCCCCTAATCCATGTCCGCTGGTCTAAAACTTTCAGCTGACAGAGAAGCCCACTTAGAAACCCCCATCCATGAAGCTGGTGCTGAACTGCAGAGCTCCTTAAGTGAAAGACTGCTGCAACCTAAATGCACCAGGAAGCGTCATCACAGATCCTTCCTCCTGCAGCTGGAAGATTTTATAACCTTCACTGTTCCCTCCAACCTCAATCAGTTGATCCATTCATGCTGATTTTGCACAGTTTCTATCTTAGTCAGTTAAATAACATGCTGCTGTCATTTTACACATTTATGATGTTGCTGCTATTTCAATTATCCATATCCATACTGTAAAAATGTCCACAGCTGTATATTGGTTATTTATTCCCAGGTGCACCGTTTTATATTGTAAAAACACTTTGCAGTATTTTCTTCTCTTTTATACATTTTTTTAGGTCCACATTTGTCCGACCTTTTTTGCTGCAATCTTTTGCTGCAGTAAAACCACAATTTCTTTATTGTGGGACGAAAAAAGGGATTTTCTATTAGAGCAATAATTATGCAAACATTGTGAAATTATACATAAATATTTTGCATTTAAGATAAAAACTTTTTTTTCATGTCACTATCCAGATCTCAAGTGGAAAATTTTAGTTTAATTCTGTAAAAAAAAAAAATCTTCGTTAAGGAACCTTTTCATATAATTCGTTAGGAAATTATACCAAAGCCTGATCTAGATCCCACAATTGTTTTTTGATGTATAATCTATGATAATCATCAGTTTTTTTATCCTTTCAATTGCCTATAGGCTTAAATTAAAGCTTTCAGAACTTGACGGGTGTTCATTTGTCCTTAAGTTCCTGTTGACTCGTTAGTCTGTTCTGCCTTTTCCAGGAAAAATGATAAAAGCATCTTTTTAAAGGTTGGAAAAAGACGTTCAGACAACAGATGTTTCATTAGAAGAAGGAAGCAAAGGCAGGAGATGAGACGTTAATCTGCCGCCTGTTTGATTCTGCAGGAATGGAGGAACCACCGACAGACGGGCCAGGGTTCCAGGATCCAGACCCGTTCTACAGCCAGACCCCCTTCAACAATCCTCCAGAACCGATCCACTCCACTCCGGCCCCCGTCGCTCTGACTCCGCCCTCCCTGACCGAGGAGCAGCGCCTGCGGATGGAGCTGAACAGGCAGCGAGCGCTGGAGCGACGGCTCGCCCGGCAGCAGCAGCAGCTACCAGGTTTTACAGAACAACAAAACGCTGTTTCTGTCTGTTAAACTGCGGATCGCTCTAAACCAAATACATTTTAGAGCCCATTTCATACAACAATCTTGGATTAAATAAGCCAGGAAGACAGAAGGGACATTTAAAATGCTAAATAAGAGACTGCATCAAACCAGAAAGTATTCATCAGAAAGGAAGCTGTTCAGTGCGCCGCCGTAGTTTTATAAAACTCGTCAGACTGGTGGTTAAACGCTCCAACCGTTACTGCCCGGCTGAAGCAGATGGACGTCTGAGGGTCTCCTCTGGTCTTCAAGCATTACTTTAGTTTAGAAATTAACTAAGTTCTTGAAAATCTGGAAAAAGAAACTGGAATCGTTTGTTTACTGCTGTCAAAATGTCCGCCTGCCTTTCTTACTTCCTCCGTTTGAAATATAGCTTGAAATGAAAGAATTTCCTGTTGAATGCATTCATCAGGACCTGATTGGAAATGTTTTAGAACCTTGGAGCTTTAAGGTTCTGTCTTTTATTCTAATACTTTATAATCAGGAATTAAATAGTTTTTTTTACTGTGGAAATGTTTCAAATACAGTTTGAATTTGTTCTGATCCTTCAGATTCCCAGGCTGCTACAGCGCCCTCATCAGGAAGTGATCCTGGCTCGGTTCATGCAGCGCATGTCCACAATGGTTCTGCTGAGGAGGAGAAGATGATGGAGGACCTGGACCACCCTGTTCTTCCTCCTACAGACACGGAACCTTCTGCTGAAGGTTCTGCAGAATCCTCCCAGGGTGAGAAGGACAGCAGCAGCCATCCTGAAGCGCCTCTCCTCAGTGGTTCTACTCAGACGCCGCCATCCGAGGCTCCGGCAGAACCCCAGCCTCCGCCCGAGGCTCCGGCAGAACCCCAGCCTCCGTCCGAGGCTCCGGCAGAACCCCAGCCTCCGGCAGAACCTCAGCCTCCAACCGAGGCTCCGGCAGAACCCCAGCTTCCCTCCGAGGCTCCGGCAGAACCTCAACCTCCGCCCGAGGCTCCGGCAGAACCCCAGCCTCCAACCGAGGCTCCGGCAGAACCCCAGCCTCCAACCGAGGCTCCGGCAGAACCCCAGCTTCCCTCCGAGGCTCCGGCAGAACCTCAACCTCCAACTGAGTGTCTGGCAGAACCTCAGCGTCCGTCCGAGGCTCCGGCAGAACCCCGGCCTCCGTCCGAGGCTCCAGCTCAGGTTCCCACTGAGTCCGATCAGGGTGGGACGGGGAGCAGAGGTTCTGCTGAACAGAATGAAAAGCTGCAAGATACGGACCTGGATCCGTCACTCAGCACTCGGACACTAATTCACACTGAACCGGACCTTCCTGCTGAAATCCCAGCAGAACCTCCTGCAGTTTGAGGAGGGCGAGAAAGACGTTATGGACCTCCAGGAATAAACCCAGAGGAGAGCGACCCATTTCCTGGGCTGCCTTTAAATGATCAGAACCATGCAGGTCCAAACCCCATGCTCCCTGAGCTGGAAGCTGAAACGCTTCTGATGTTTGAAATGAGCAGAGTTCTGGTTTCAGTGCATTAATTTAGAACCAAACAGGTTGAAACTTTCTAAGCAGAACCGTAAATCTGTTCCAGAAATAACCCGCCGGGCCGGCGCTGTGTTCAATCATTTTAATATGAAACATAATAAACAGTTGGTTTTAATGGAACCGGGTCAGCATCAGTGTTTGTTCCTGTTTCTGAAGGTTCTGGGTTTTTCAGCTGGTCTTATTTCAACATTTTGACCCCAATAAATAAGCTAAAAACGGTTCTGAGATCCGGTGTCAGTTGATTTTTCTGCGGCGAAACCGATTCTTCATCAGGGAACAGAACTGTTCTGCAGCAGCTGGGCTCCTCTAAGCTGTGCTGGCACAGAACCGGGAGGCCGTGTCCGGGTCCATCAGAGCCAGCTCCCGGATCTCCTCCAGGATGGAGTACAGGTTAGGAGCTCTGCTCTGCTGGAACTCCCGCTCCCACTTGGAGAGTTTGGGTCGCTGCGCTGCCTTCTCCTGCGCCTCCTCGGCGAGCCGCACCACCTCCTGGACCAGCTGGCTGCGCCCCTGCGAATCGGGCCGCTGCGGCGCTGAACTGCGATGCGGCTTGTTGCTGATGACCTCCAGTTTCAGGGTGTCGGCGTGGCAGTTGGAGGGTAGGACAGAGATCCGGACCTGAGGATGGGACAAAAAGATCCCTGAGTTCTGGGTGGTCTAACACTTCAGATGGAGCAGAATGAAGCCCACTTTGGAGCGGTACCGACCCGGATCAGATCAGAAGGTTTTCAAAGCTTCCAGGCTCATCTTTAAAACTCGATCAGTGCAGAAATATCCCAAAATTATACTTTAATTTTTTTCATTCAAATTGGGTCAAAGTCTCAGAATCTGGAAAAGTGACGAATTTAAATATAAGAAACCTAAAAGAAATAAAGTACAAATAATAGAGTAAAAATTGTATAAATTATTTTTTAAATATAATCTTCATACATAGACTTTGGCTGTTGACGATATATGGGACAAATTTCTAAATTTGTTTTTACTGCTTGTGAAATAGGATCATCACTGATGCAGCTTAAAGGGAAACCATCCATATTCTGGATGGATGGAATTGAAATTGTGTCCATATCAGGGATGCATGATATATTGCTGACTTAGACGACTTTTATTGAAATTTCATGTTGTATTTCATGTATGTTTCAGAACATTTTAATTTCTTTAAAAAGCAGCAGCGATAAAATGTGTTGGCGTTGGGAATCGGCTGTTATTCGTCTTTTTTTTTTTTTTTTCATTTATGTTTTTTTAACTCTTTATAGATAATGCACCAAAAGGCATTTGTCTAACTACCTATAAATCAATATATCAGTGTATTGTGGTACCCGTGTGTTCTCAACTAGGAAAAAATTTAAAACAGGGTTCCCGCGGGTCCTTAAAAAGTCTTAAAAGGCATTGAATTCTTCAAAATAAAACTAAGGCCTTAATTGGTA